TTTATGTCGCCCACTACCAATGGGTCAAAAATGACCCAAGTTGTCCTGAAGGACGCTGTTCCCACATCGCTAAACAAGAAATTTTCAAACGCTTGCCAGCAAATAGATGACACCTATAACAGTATATATTCACTGCCTTAACGGAAAAATAATTCATCTGCGCAGTTAAAAAAAACAAAAAACATCAAAAATCAGATTTTTTCACTTTTTTGAAAATTCATCATTTCCAGGCTCAAATATCTCAGCTAAGGAGTGATGAACAAAACATTATTTTTTTACCAATCGATAGCCCATGGAGTTCCCTACAAATATTGTCTTGTGAGTTTTTGAATACCATGCTTTCTTTATTTGCTGCAAACTTTCTACGAAAGGGTCAAAAATGACCCAAGGGAGGGGGAGAGTTAAAGGGTTAACTGATATATTATCTAAATTTGTCATAACAAAGGCCGGTCGTGATTGCTCAGCAGCAACAGCAGTGAAATTTCTTATAAATGATGTTATATTAAAATATGGAACTCCAATATGTATTTTAACCGATAATGGTACTCATTTTACCTCTCAACTTATGAATCAATTATTTCAAAATCTTGGTGTTACTCATTTATATTCAACCGTATATCATCCACAAACAAACGGACAAATTGAACGATTTAAAGCAACTACGGATGGGAAAATTGCAGCTCTATGTAACGAACCTCGTACAAATTGGGATGATCTATTACAATACGTTACATTCAATTATAATACATCCATACATACAACAACAAAACAAACACCATTTGAGATGATGCATGGACGACAAGCTACTCTTCCATTCGATCAACAAAAGGAAATTATTTCGCTCACACAAGATCCACAACATGGTAAAAAAATTAGAATTTATCTTGAAAAATTAGTAAATGAAGCTCGAAATAATATTATAAAAAATCAACAGCAATACAAGACTCGATATGATGTAAATAGATAAAATTTATCATTAAAATTAAACGATTTAGTTTTAGTAAAAACAAGAAACATTAGAAATAAATTTGATATACGATATGAGGGTCCATTTAAAATTATTAAACAATTAGGAATTAGAAAATTTATTGTTCAACATGTAAAAAAATTAACATTAACAAAACAAGTGACAATGGATGTCATCGTTCCATTAGTTGAACGATGGAATTCAATTCAATAAACACATCTCGAAAGGGAGAGATGTGAAAGTAGATGACACTAATAGTGAAAAAACGATCATCATAAATTAAGTGACCAATATTTGGGGTTTGATTCAGTGGTCCATGCCGGGGAGACCGATGTCACCTTCTCACTGACAAGGACGAGTTATCGAACTTGAATATTTAATCATTTATCTTACAGTGATACATTATCCAATCAGAACGCGCGATAATCGACGCGCTTGAATAGGTCTGGTCAGACTATTCGGTGTGAAGATGAAAGCACGTGGCACTGACCGACGAATTCACTATTATCTATAGAAGAACATGATATATATATCTACTACACCAAAGGAAAGGACAAATTTTTATATACGGCCATTAATCGAGTCATATTGGATATGTACAGAAAAGAAAAATTTTACGTGTGAACAATTTCCAGGCACATATCTATTTGGAAGGAAAGGAAAATTTGACGGGGCAAAGAATTTCATTTTTAAGTACATTTTACAATAACACATCATTTCTATTATAGCTAACAATGGAACCGTTTATCATGTCAGACGATTTCCTTAACTATTTTGGTGTCAAATGAAAGCTCTCACCGAGAAACTAACAGGGTTAAAATATTAGCTGCTAACGACTTGCCTAGAGGGAGATATGTAACTTTTAAATCTAGGTATAAAAATGAATCAGGAAAGGTTTTCTCCACTATTATAAGGACAAAACATATTGTTGTTCGGGCCGATTATAGGGTTTGTAGGGTTTCTCTTTCATATGGCTCGAACAACACTATGTTTTGTCCTTATAATAGCGGAGTGAATTTTCCTAGTGGTGAACAGAAAAAGCTGATTCCATGAGCCACAGGAGAAATTCACTCTACTATTATACGGACAGAACATGGTGTTGTTCGGGCCATATTAAAGCGGATCCCTACAAACCCTATAATCGGCCCGAACAACACTATGGTTT